AGCCTCTTTCTGTCTTCTTAGGCCATAGTGATTCCCATGTGGATCTGTCACTTGAATTCCACAGAGAAGAATAGCACTTCTTTGGAGTCTATCAACGCTTTCAAATTGCTGATAGCCACAGGAGCTGAAAGGAATCCAAGCACTATCCTCCTTTTGATTCTGTGGAGTGATCCCAGATGCTTTAATAACCATACATTCACAAGTGATCCCTGCAAAACACAGCCAATAGAAATATTTTGGGGGACTTGGACATTTCTTTCCAAATCACTTTTGACATAGGAAAGCTTCAGGTTGCTGAGAAACTAATTTTACATCCATTCTCCAACATTACTAATTTTTTTACTCACACATAGCCTTGGTAAATTATTTGCTTCTTGGTTTATACAACACGTGTTTTTCCCACAAGGGAATAGGCTATGCTCAATTGTGGCTCCCAGAGGACTCATTTCCTAAAATAGATTCTGAAATTTTTATTAACAAAACATTTATTTTGCATATCTAGCATTCTGTATTCTCTATGTATAATGCTTTGTAATGTAACATCTATCAAAAAGAAAGAGCCTTTAAGCCATCCAGATGGTACTGATGCAATACAATTTAATGCCTGAGCAAGAACTAGTGATTTGTGATTTACCTTTTGCACCATTGCAATGTATCATTCTGTGTTTTAAAAGTTTGGAAGGGCAAATAGTCACCAATATCATTGTGGCATTAGACTATGAATCTCTGTAATACCATGCCCAATACACAATAGTTATAAAATAAATTTATTGAAGGGATGGTATGATTTGGGTTTGTCTTCAACCACTAACTTCCTGTGTTACTTAGGGCTCTCAGTCACAAGCAACAGAAATGAATTCTAGCAGATAGAGACATGAGAGGAAAAACCTAATGTATGCACAGTAGCTCAGAGACTAAACGGGAAGTCTGGTCTCTGAAAGAACTTGGGTAGTGAGCAAGACCAAAGATGAGCTATGAGCCTGAAAGAATGCTCAAGAAATGTTTCACCTTCAAACTTCTTAGCAAGTTGCATGCACCTGGCTGAGCCCAGACTGTGTGCTATCTGGTTGCTTCCGGGAGATCTGGGATGCAGGTGTCTGGCATTTCTCAATTTCTGTGGTGGGATGTGTCTCTGTCTGTCACTGCAGCTTGTAATTTAGCAAATCCCCCAAGATGGGAAGAGGTTGACAAGTTGGGCAGTGTAAGAAAGAGCTGAGTATTTTATGCTTTCCAACTGGCTCCCACACCCAGTGTCTACCATTCTGAATTTCCTTGATTCTTTGACTTTTGTCATATTTGTTTTGACACTCTTTAACACCAAATGAACATGACCATAGTATATTGCAGTTCTCAGGCACTTAAAAACCACCAAGGAAGTATGCACAATTGGTCATGTATCTTGGTCTCCCTTTTTAGTAAATCCCAGTAGTATAATGATCCTAAATCTATCCTAAGCCTTACTTTACCCCATAAACATTAATTAATTATTCAAGAGATTCTAATGTAGACTTCTAATTAGGACCTATGTTCTAGTGTTATAAACCATGTCTATTTTTCTTAAGCCTTACTCCCACTCATCGGTCTCAACCAAAGTCCCTTCCTTCACCTGGGAAAACCAGTTAAACAGATACAAACTCAAACTCAACTTCCCTCTCTTACAATTTCAACTCATAATTTTTTCAACTTGTAATTCTTGTCTTTACCCATTTCCATCCCCATGCCTTGCTTTGTTCTTCTTTCTTTCCAAGACTTAAGTGTCCAGTTGTGTTCATTGTGAAGCTCTCCAGTCTAATACTTACCTTCCCTTTTGTATCTTTGGACTCACTTTCCTGAGCTGTAATACCCTTTGCACCCCAAAGCATTCAGTCTCACTTGGCCTAAAAAAATTCTTCATTGAGCCTCTACTTTCAAAGACTGCCGGCCTGCTCCCCACCATCATCTTCCAAATCCAGAGATCTGAAAGGAGCCATTTGTACTCCTGGATGATCTTCCTTGCCTCTCATTCATTTCTCAGCTATCTTAAGTGCTCACCCTCTGCATATAGTTTTATTCTCCAGCGTCACACATGACTTCCTGACTGCTAAAGCCAAGGGCCCCTTCTCAGTCTGCTTCCTTCCTGACATCTCAGAAATATGTGGAAACCTGTTGAGGTTCTCTGACTACCTGTGTGCCTTTCGATGCAAATCCTTCCTGAATCTTTTTCTTCTGCTTCTCAGATGATATTTTATCAGTCTCTCTGGCTAACCTTCACTCTGCCTGCTTTCTCTTCTAATCCTGGCTATGCTCATCTCTTGAGTTGTGACTGTGACATAGATGACACTGAGATACATAGCCCAACCTGATTCTCCTGTTTTGAAGTACAGATCTTCCCAACTGATCACTTCCAAGGAGTGCTCGGACCATTCCATCATCTCTTTTTTTTAAAAATTAATTATGATTAAGTACATATAACCACTTGTAAATATACAGTTTAGTGACATTAAGTACACTCACCTTATTGCTCTCCACCATTCCCATCCCCTTTCTTTCCTTTCCCTTCCCTCCCTTTCCCTCCCTACTTTTATTGTTTTTTCTTTTGCTGGGAATCAAACCTAGCACATCCTAGGCAAATACTCTATCACGGAACTACATCCTCAACTCCTATCATTCCTTTCTGATACTTACATGGGCAAGGGGAACAAGACTATTTCTTCTCTACTTTCTGCCACACATCCATGTCACTGGCTGTGTGGTGATTAGGGCTAAAAACATGGTCTCGGTAGGGTCTCCTCTGGGCTTATCTCAGTCTGTGACATTGGCTGAGTTCCCACTTCTCTGGTCTCACTTCCTCATTTTAGTACTCTCTGTGTTAGTTGGTTACACAGTCATTCTACCAAAATAACAGCAGCTTTGTTTATTTGTTAGCAAATCCTTCCTCAAATAACTTGTTCTGGGGGGCAGGGCTCATGCTAGAGCTGAAGAGAAAAGGAAGCAATTGAAGCAAGTGATGAGGGCATAGCCAGAAAGTAGAATTTCCTAATATGTTGGAGCAGGATGTCAAACCTGGCTTTGGCTTCGATTTATGATACAAACAGTCCCACCCACACTTGTTATGAAGTAAATGGCAGAATGATCCCTCAGCAAAATGGATTCACTGAGTTATCACCATCCTCAGCCTGGACAGTGATTAGTCATCAAGGGACAACTACTGACATCTCTGTGAAGATGAAAGAGATACGTAGTTGAATGGAAAAATTTACCCAGAAAATAGGACAAATTTGACAAAAGAGATACACATATCTTTTTTTTTTCTTTCTCTCTACTGGGATTTGAACTCTGAGCTTTGTGATTGCTAGGTAGATACTCTAACCCTGAGCCATTCCTGCAGCCCTTGTTTGCTCTGGTTATTTTGAGATGAGAGTTTCACTTTTGTTGAGGTCTGTGCCTATTTTTGTTGCTACCAGGCTCAGCTTCTTCTATTAAGATGGAATCTTCAAGACTTTTACATCCTGACTGGACTTCAGTTGAAATCTTCCTCTCAGCCTCCCAAGTAATGAAGATTATAGGCATGAGCCACTGGTGCCAGGCTTTCAAATGCCTTCTTGAGTGCAACATTTATAAAATCATGGGTCAAGTAGGTTTTATTTAGTGTTTATTTAATTTGACAGAGAAATTTTGCTTATGAATGTTGGTCCATCTTCAATGCTAAGAGACATTTTGTATTTATTTCACTTCCAGACTTCTACATATCTCTCACATCTGACCCACAAACCACCCCCACTTTAGTACCATATGGTATCCTGTTTGGGTAAATAACAGGTCAGGTATTTTAGTGAACACATCCTACTTTGTCTTTCTGCCACAGTAAAGCCCTCCAAAGGTTTAAATGTTTACAGCACAGAATGTCACAGGATAATAGTAATAAAAGCAGATGTCTGAGGGCCAGGCATGATGGCTTATACCTGTAATGCCAGCTACTCAGGAGGATGGAAGTTTGAGGCCAGTCAAGGCAAAAAGTTAGGAAGACCCTATCTAATCAATACGCCAGGCATGGTGGTCTGCACACCAGCAGTCTCAGCTTTGTGAATACTTAGATAGGTGGGAGGAATATGGTCCAGGCCTGCTGAGCATAAATGATCCTATTAGAAAAACTACCAAAACAAAATGGGCTGGGGACTTAGGTGGTAGCATAGCCTGTCTAGCAAGTTTAAGGCCGTGAGTTTGAACACCAGTATCACCAAAAAAAAAAGAAAAAAAGAAAAAGAAAAGGCAAATCTATAATGCCTTCCACAGAGCACCTTAATTACACTTGACTAAGGACTTCTCTGGGAGGTAATTCGTGCTCCTTCATTAGTTTCCTATGAGGAAACTGAGGTCCTGTTTAGTTAAGTCAAATGCTGCAGGTTTTTCTGGCTAAATTGCTCAGCCTACCTGGGCACCCAAGGCGACAAACTCTGGGATGTCTAAGCCCCCGATGGCCTCAAGCGTGGCCAGATCTGGAGATAACACCTGCCTGCCCTCAGCCGACTTGGTGTTTGTGGCCCCTGTGATGGAAGCACGTGGGTGAGACAGCCCTCCCTGTTGGAAATGCCCCCAGGTGGAGCCCAAGTGTCATTCAGGCTGCCGCTGGAAGGCGCCCAGAACCCTCCGTGGCCACTGGCCACAGCCAGCACGTGTTGGGGCTCGCATTTTGCCAGAGGCCCCCTCCACTGGATCTGCCCTGCAGACGCCACCGCGCTCGGCTTGGGGGACCCTCCGCTCTCCTGTCCGCTGAAGCGCTGCTCCAGCCGTGCGCCCTAGGATCGGCGGCGCCCCAGGTGCCATTCTCGCGCTGCGCGTCCGCCTCGCCGCCTGGAGGCCGCGGGTCCTCCACACCCCAGGGGCGGAGCGAGGCGCCTAGACGTCAGGGCGGAGAACGAGCGCCGGCGAGCGCGCCCTCCCGGCGGCTGCCCGCGGCCCACGTCCCCGGCTGGCTGGCGCGGCCGGCGGTGGCAGCAGCGGCGGCGACCGTGAGCTGCAGATCGCGGTGGCGCTGGGGCGCAGCCACGCGGCCGCGCGAGGGTGGGGGACAGAGGTCCCCGATCCAGCCGTGCGCACAGCTGTTCCCGCGGCCGCAGTGCTGCGGGCGGACCCTAGGCGCCCCCCCTCGACTCCCCCCGGGTTCCACCTAAGCCTCCCCGGGTGCCCATCCAGTTCTTTGGGTGACTACAGCGTGTTTTGTTTTTTCTTTCTTCTTTCTCCTGCCCGCGGGTGCCCTTCTCCAGGATGGCAGAGGCGGAACTGCACAAGGAGAGGCTGCAAGCCATAGCAGTAAGTCCACTTTCATTTCATTCTCCTGCTCTATTGTCTGGGGTGGATGGGAACTCCGAGGGTTCGGGACCAGAGGCATGCCAGCTGGGTAGCCTCAGGGCGAACGCCTGTCAAGGCTCAGCCGATTTCCCTTTTAGACGTCTGCAGACCAAACCCGCAGGGCGCACTTGGAACTGGTGGGCTTAGAAATAAGATGCTGGCGGCTGGGCTTTGGCAACCGGGCTCAACAGAGGCTGGGGAGGGGGCGCCCGGCGGAATATTATCACCTGGTGCTTTGGGACATGTTGGCTTCCTACCCTGTAGGAAGAAGCGAATGGAGGAGCGACCTGCATGGTGGCTGCCGTCCTCTGCAGAAGCCCTTAGCCTGTTGTTAAGTGGAAAACCAGGAGCCACATGCACAGCCAGCCAGCCTCTGCATGGAGAGAGCCTCCTCCCAGAGGTTGGGAGTGCTGCTTTTCCCTTCTCCATTTGATACTGACCATGGCTCTGGCACCAGCCACTACCCTGGGCTGGCCACCTCTCACAACAACTGAGTGCTGGGACTAATATTCCAAGGGAGCCTCTCTCCTAAAGGTGTAGATTAGTGGAAAACTCGGGTTCCCCCATATAACCAGTTTTGGCAAAGTTCATATGCAGTTTCAGAAAAGTGTACCCATGTGTGCCTTGGGTACAAAAGAAATAGAACTCTCTGAGACTGCCTAGATTTGAACAGACTTGCCAGGCTTGCCAGTGATCCACAGATGTGGTATTTTTACTGGAACCACCACAGCTGGATTATATATTTCCTTTGCGGATGAGGGAATGATTACCACTGCTATATGAAATAAGAACGATTAGAAGAGAAGGTCTGTTAACATGTTGGTGCAAAAGAAACTCCAGACGTTCTTCTACCTAAGTACATTTTTTTTTTTTTGGTGGTGGTGGGTTCCAGGAATTCCCTGGAAATACTATAAATTTGTTGGAGAAATACTGTGTAATGTATTGGAAACAAACTCCATGAAAGTGTTGTTTTTTTTTTTAAGACTTTGGACAGATTCTTTATTGGGAAAATGCACACAGGCCTTAAAAAAAAAAAAAAAAACCAACCCAAGCATTTGATGTGGTCTTGGCAGATCTGAAAGCTCTTGAAGACTAGCTCTGGAGAGGGAGAGAGCTGTGTGTCAGACATGGTAATGGGCTATGGTTTGCCTCTGAGGTGGTCTTTGAATGTGGCCCTTAGAGCTCCTTTCCTTTCCTGAGTACATGTGTAGTTTGATGGTTAATGCAGTTGTTCATAGTTTCTCAAAGTTCAGCAGCACGGCAGTGTGGCAGTATGTTCTAAAGTTGATAAGAATGGAGATATTCAGCTGGTGGTGCCATGGAGCTGGTGGTTGTTTTGTGTAAACCGAATAATTGGCTGCTTCAACCGTTGACTGAGTGTCTACTGCAGAGAACGTTTGGTCGCTCCCATGGGCTACTGCTGACCGTTTCCAACAGTTGTCACATTTTCTGCCTTTGCATGACCAACTTCCCTGGATTCCTGAGGGACAGCTGGCCCCTATGAAAGGACTTGCTTTCTGAGCACCAAGCCAGTAGCAGCTCACATGGGGCCACCCTTTCCAAGTGGGGTTGAGTCATCTCACCAGAGGCCAAATTGATTTTCAAGGAAAATGTAGGAAATCTTTTGATAGAGAAGACAAATACCAACTAGTTCCTACTCAGTAGTAGGACTGAGCTGGTCCATTGAACTGGGGAGCCATTGATGAATCTGGGAATGGGTCAATCTGAGTGAGGATGCACCATTGTTATCAGTTTGGATTGACCTTAGTCATTGTATAGAGAGGTGGGGAGTGGGGAGATAGGAGAGAGAGAAAGGGAAGGACACAGACAGACTTAAAGAGAAAGAGATGGCCAGATGCCAGTAGCTCATGCCTGAATTCTAACCACTCAGGAGGCTGAGATAGGAGGATGGTGGTTTGAAGCCCAGGCAGGAAAGTCCATGAGACCCTTGTCTCCAATAAACGACTAAAAAAAAAAAAAAACAAGTAGCACTGTGACTCAAGTGGTAGAGCATTCACCTTGAGCAAAAGAAGCTCAGGGATAGCGCCCAATGCCCAGGCCTAGAGTTTAAGCCCCAGGACTAGGGGCAGAGGGGAGGGTGTGGGAAGAGATAGAGATGGAAAATGCACTGTGGTTTTATGCCATCTAGCAAATCATAGCCACTTTCCTAGAGTTCTCCAGGAATCCTAAGGAGCTCACAATCCTTCTTCAGAACCTAGCATGCCCATAGTCTCTCAGAAGATGTGAGGAAAAAAGAGAATGAGTCCCTACCCATTCACCTCCTTGGGCTTCTGAGTCTTTGTCAGTCTGGAGTCTGGGCTTCAGTTTCCTCATCTATACAATGGGCTCATGAGTTCTGTCTCCTGGGCTACCTGTGAGGCGTGGTGGTGATGGAGGTAAAGAGCCTGTGATATAGTCACTACTAGGTTAGGGATACTCAGAACCCTCAGTTCTTGTCTATACTGATGCTTTTTTGAGGGGGAGTGGAAACAGCATTTTTGAAGTAGAAAGCCTTGGCTTCTTTTCCTTCAATTCTGACTGAGGCCAGGCCCTGACCAGTGTTGCTTCCTCTGACTGCTACCCGTGGAAATAGGATTATGACTTAGGGTATTTACAAGTGGTTCCTCTGGCAGATCCTGCTAAGACCCAAAAGTCAGTGTCCCTAAATATCAGCTGTGAAATGGAAATTTTCACCTTTTACACAATTATTATTATTGTTTTTTGGTTTGGTATGGCTAGTATTAAGGCTTTTTTTTTTAACCTCAATGTTAGTGTTTTACCACTTGAGTCACACCTCCACTTCCAACATTTTTCTGGTCATTTGAAGAAAAGAGTCTTACGGACTTTTCTGCCTAGTCTGGCTTTGAACCAGGATCCTTAAATCTCAGCCTTCTAAGTAGTTCAGAATTAGAGGCGTCGGCTACCGGCGCACAGCTTGCATGATTAATTTATGTGCTACAACACAAGATATTTGTCATATAATCATCTGCAGGATTTTCCTATCAAAGAAAATTAGAAAATTACCCAGAAATGACAGCTCCTTAATTGAATCTCCTCGTTAGATGCAGAGATTAATCAATGACAAAAGATGTCTCTCATCTCATTTCCGGCCCCTCCCCCAAAGAAAGTCCTCTGACAACTACTTCTACTCTACACATCGACCTCTCTTGGGACACTCTCAAAGCATCCTTTAGAATATACAAAATGATTCTACAATACAGTGGGTGTGAATAAGGGTTCTTGGAAAGAATAATAGAAATTGCCATTTATTCCCCTGGTACATCCAGCAAGGCACTACATGAAGTGGTTTATGTTGCTGCATTGTTTGTTTTAGTCATGGAGGAAATAGAAAATCTCTTATTACCATATAATAACAGACACTGTGCCTGTCAGCACTTACTTGTGGATTATGTAAACCAACCTTAAGGAGTTGAGGAACACTTCCCCAAAATGGAGACATTTGAATGAGTTTTAAAGATTGGGTAAAATAACATAGACACTAATATCATGTTCTTCCTAATTACTGGATAATATTATTTATTTCTTGTTAGTTTTTTTATTTAGGTGAAGTAGTTAATGTGAGAAAGAGAAAACCAAAAGCATGAAGATATGAAACCAATAGTTTGTCCTGCCAACAGCATAACAGCATAAGCTCATTAACAGGTTGACATGCTTTTAACACACATTATCTTAATCTTAACAACCAGTTCAGAGGCTAGGCATTACTTTCTTATATAGAACTAGCTCAATGTTAAACAGTGCTGGGATATGAAGACATACTATAGCCACTAGAGACCATAATCTGTTATGCTGAACTACCACCAAGATGGCAGAGGCACCTTTCCCTCTTCCCATGTACTGTGCAGGTGGTCCACAGCCTCATTATGAGTGCATGAGACACCGCAGGCTGCCTTCTTAAAACTGGGAAAACTCGAGAGAAGCCAGGAGGCCTATGTCCTTTGGAGACTCTTCCAAGCCTTGGGCTCAGTGCTCAGTTACTAAATGAGTAACATTTCTTTGAGGAAGTTGCTGTTGTGTCTCAGTGAAAACTGACTTTGGGGGAGGGTATATTATGTCTACCCAGCCAAGGAGAAGATAGTTTTCCTTGGGCATGAGTGAAAATACTGAGTTTGTCTTGAGTAAAAGCCCCCAAGAACCACATGGACAAGGCTTCTAGCCAGCACCAGGGACCAGTGAGAATGCAATGAGTTTATTTGTGTGAAATATGAGATGTTCATCTACACTATATTTCCTCTTTAAGGAAGTTGTCATTTATTAAGAACCCACTTAGTAGAACTATGAAAATGATCTTCTGCATTAGCACTTAACACTGTACACCATCCTTGAACATGCTGTATTTATTCTGAACTGTGTGGGGCAGGTCTTATTGTTTGCACTTTACAGTGGAGCATCCAAAGGTGTCTAGATCACATAGTGGGTTATAGAAGAATGGTGTGAAGCCTTGGTCTCTCTTGACTCCCAATTCCTTGAGTTCATGGCATATCCACCTTGGAAGGTGCCATGACCTAGACAGGATCTACCACTGGGTCTTCCTGAGCTAAGATCCTGTGGCTGGTGGGAGAGGGGTAAGCCTAGGGGAGACACTTGGAATTCTATGGAATCTGTCATTATAGCATTTCTCTCTTGAAAGTCTCATCTCTAAGTGCAGTTAGTGGTTTATGGCTGTCAGTAGATCCTGTTTTCCATCCTTAGGAGTCCTGGGTATGGTTAGCTTAGGCTGGCTGTGCCCTTGGCTTCCCCACAAAAAATAAATCTGTTGGCTTTTCCGTATATTAATTTTTTTCATTTCTCTTCTTGTCTTGGGCTGATAGAGCCCTGGGATCTAGGGTTGAAGTGGAGACCAACGGCCCTAAGAGACTATATACATGGCCTCCTGGCTATGAGAATGTCCCACACCATTGAGGTTGGTCTGCCTAAGATGGACAGGCATCCTTGCAACG